CCGTCGGCTCCTCTCCTTTCATCCTTCTCTCCCTCCGTCCTATTCACACCAGCACATTTGAAATCCGCCCCGGTTTACACGCAGATATCGCGGCGTATGTATCGCGTCCCGACGTCGATGCTACGTCGCTCGCGTTTGTAAAAAACAAGGCGCTAAAAATAAACGAAAAGAGCATCCAAGCTAACCCATTATTAGCCGCAGACGTGAAGAAGGCTGAACACAAACGCAGAGAATCAAAAGACACGAGAAGACCTGCGTTCACAGACGTCCACTGAGACGTACTGTTTGTGTACACTGTTGTACTGTAGTACTCCTCCGAAACAAAAACTACATACTACGTGCTGATGTCTAATTCTTCAGCATTTTGTTCACCGTTATTTACATTATAATTCTACTGTGACCCCCAGCATCAGCAACTGGTGGCACGTGGGCCAAAACTGGCCCGCCGTAACAGCCAATCGGGTCCGTGACTGGATCCCAAAATAAACAACATGTTTATATTTATATAGGATATTTAAACGTCAATGGCTGAATGTTATTAGAAGACAAGAGGAAGACGTGAGGTGAGGGTGGTAAAATGTAAGTTTGTGTTTGTGTTTTAAGAGGGGGAGAAAAAAGAGAGCGAGAGAGGGAGGAGGAGGGAAGAGGAGGGAGAAAGAGGGAGGAGGAGGGAGAAGGAGGGAGGAGGAGGAGGGAGACAGGTCTCAGTGTGATGCTGCGGCCGCACCGTCATTAAACAAAAGGGAAACTTGTCAAATGAATTCCCAGCATCTCACAGTGAATTCATTTCATAACTGAACCACTTCATTTGGATTCTGGTGATACTACTGTGTGGAGCCACAGCCTGGAAATTAATCGGACATGTAGCCTAATATTTTTAGACAATGACAGGTTTGTAACTGATTCATTAGTCTAATGAAAACTCAGCTGCCCCCGAGTGACCGGGATTTATTAATCCTGCTCTTTCTTTTTCTTTTTTTTTTTTTTTTTGGCCCTGCTTTATTTATTCCTATAAATCAGAATCCGTGTCCAAACCAGAAATTATTGGAGGATATGGCTAGCACCGGTTGATGTGGCACAGAGCTGCTCTATTATCTGGTGCTGTACGCCTCCACCGTGACTTTAATAAACACTAATAAGCCACTGATATGTGTCGACCTCCTCCCTGCACCTCCTTGTTTCTTTCTTTCTTTTTAAAAATGTAACGTTGGTATACTGCCACCAAGTGGGTCTATTTCCTAGTGGTAAAAATGTCAACACATA